CTTTACTATTATTTTAGTATTGTACATAGGTAGTTAGTTAGTTAACATTCTGTAATTAAAATATTATACTATAATATAGGGGGATGGAGTGGCCGAGCAAACCAAGGCGTCGGTGTCGACGCGTACTGACGGTGGTTCGAACCCGGCCGTGGGTGGCATTTTTCTTCGGATAAGTCACGGTATCCGGAGAGATGTGCCTGCAGTGACGGCACTACATATTTTGGGTGGGGCCCTTAATGATTATGGAACTAGATGGTACCTTCTTAGACTTGATATTTTGTTTTATATAAGAGCTGACAATCTTTAGACACTTTTCAGTTTTCAGATACCAATTAGGTATCAGTAGTGAATAGTGATATATTTTATTATTCCTAATTGTGAGGATAGATAGCTTATAGCAAAATAAATCATACTAAACAAAAAAAGTTAGCTACATAAAAAAATATATTTATATATTCATGTGCCAATGTAAGTAGTGAGTAAATTTAATTATAATAAAACTTGGATATGCACTTTTGAACATAATTAATATAATATATTATATGATATTACTGATATTATATGATTATAATTTATAAAATAACGTAAAAGGTATTAAAAATGTAATTTAGTCAGTTAGTTCATATTAGGTACCTACGTAAGCCATAAACGAAACGAAAACAATTTGCTAGGCAAATGTACTGTGTACAGTGTACACTGTGACTGTACACACTACAGTCACTACACACTAGTCGACTTGTGTCTTGTACAAGTAAAATGTACACATTACATGGCTGTCGGCTAGACAGATAAATTACTATTAGGTATATTACAGCATAAACAATTAGTAACGAATAACGATAACACGAGTAAACGACAGCTTAAGGTTTTTCGGTTTTCGAGTTATTTTTAAAGTTGTAAACGTGATCACCTAACGAGTTATTGAAATATTGCCGTTATCGGTTGTTATTATTGGCCGAGGTGTTGTATTTACTATTTATCGTAGTATTTTCAATTCGGTAATCGGTATAGGTAGGCTGCATTAATTATTTACAAAAAATTATTCCAAAGTTGTGTGCCATAAATTAAATGATTTCTTTTTCTCTGCGTGCCATACAATTATGAAAAACAAATAAGGAGACATGGGGGGGGGGCACGGGGCCCTTCTAACAAAGGGGCCCCAGGCATTTGAACTCAGTCACTGAGTGCCTCCATCCCTCACCTGGGCATCGCAATAGTTTTTACAAAATACATATTTATTACAGTTATAATACAAATGACAAATTTATATTGTCCACTAAAAACTATTTTAAAATAATAGGTATTTGAGTTTCATTCATCATTGTCCAGCACAATATATTTTATTATAATATATTAGACTCGTGGTTGTCGCTATCACATAGTATATATTCTGATAACATTTATATAATTTATATAATCATTATTATTATTACTATTATTCTATATATTAATCGTTTCATCTTTTATTATGTTATATTTATTATTTTAAATTATATTATATTATTGTTATCTATACAAATATATTGTGAATTGGACTTTTGTCCGTATTAATAAATAAATAAATAAATATACAAGATTTAATGACTTAATGTCCAACTGACAAACAATTAGTCAAGTATTGCGATTATTTAGTATACAACTATATTTATGAGGACAGTGTTTTTAGTCCAACGTATAATTAGGCGAGCATATACAGCTCACAACAAATTTGTGTGAATCGTTTCACTCGTATTTCAATGAAAACTTTTATTCTAACTATCTATCGATCATAATGACATCCAGACAGAAACGTATATCAAAATGTATAGCGTTGAAATTTTAAAAAAAAAAGACAAAAAAACGAAATAAAGACAAGAATACAATAAAAAACTCGACGAAAACATATACGTTTATATAGATCTGGTGAAGTTACCAGGTATTAGTTTGTAAAACGCAAGTGCACTTATTATTAATTATATGCAGAGGATATAATTATATACAGATTGCAGAGCGCGGGTCGCCGGGGTCGACCGGACGTATTTTCGGCGCGGCGATACGTGATAAAGATTAATAATATATAATATACTGATGTACGCATATAAAACAGCTCGTGGGTACGCCGATACTTTACAGTTTACACCATAGACGTAGACCTAAAGGTCTATGCCATGACAAAATAAATAGGTATGCTATCAACTTTGTGATACACTGATACGCAACTGTGTGTTCTCCCCTACAAAAATTACGTCATCCGTTCTCCGATATTATATATTATTATTATTATGTTTATTATTATTATTATTATTATTTCTGCTGGTGAGAACGGCTTACGTCACAGTTCTTAGCGAAGTGCGGGAGGGGTGCGTGTTCTCGATAAATATTAGTTACGTTGATGGGATACCTATTTATTTTGTAATGGTCTATGTTATTTACGCAACTATTAAAGTAGCACATGCCGAGCATGGCTTAGGTACACTGACAAAACTGGAAGGGTGCAGAGCAAGTATAGTGGTGAGCGAATGCACGAGGAGATCATTCGCAGATTTAGCCGACGAGACATGACTGAGGCGTCGCCACAGTAGGCCCCACTGGCCACTCCCGTACCGCGCCATTAGATATTTTACATCAAAATAAAACTAATTTTTAAATATTATACGTTTAGCGTATTTAAATACTGATTAGAACAAAAGTTATTTCATCTGTCAGGTATTCTTCTTACACCCTATATAGTATGTGAGGCGTGAGCCACGAAGCAAGTCTTAATAATAATAATAGTAATAATCACCAGCTACATGAAAGCGCCTGCAATAGCTCAGTAAACTAAATATCTTATAAATTATTTTAATAAAAATTTATTAGGAATTTAGGTACTTACCAACTCGTATCAGCTGAATGAATTACTTTAGGTACCTGACAATGAGGTGACCGGATGTGTAGGATGATACCCGCGATGCAGCCTGGCCCCTGCTAACAGATAATCGAAGGAAGAAGTTATGAATCAGTAGGTAATCACGCAGCCATGTGCTGAAAGATGACTGAAATATCTCGTTCGAAATGAAATTGTGTTGTGTATATGGGATGACGCAGCACGCTAGCAATAAATTACGAATCGAAGAAAGACCAAAGTTTGAGAAGTTCACTAATATTCTTAACACTCCGAGCGTTCAGTTCATATAAAAAAATTAAGTTAAGTATTTAATCCAAAGTTACTTTTCTTGCCGAAACAAGCGATGACGCACCGATGAGGAGAACATTAGACCTACGGTCAATAAATTACGAACCTAACACTTAAGGTACGCAGACAATCTATCGAACGGACCGAGTAAAACGTAAGTGACCACAGACGAACACGCTGACATAAATTTCGAACGCGGACTGCACCAAACACTATAATGAAGAACAGGTAATATTTCTGGTTGTGTAGCGCTGCTCTCTGCAGTGAGACATTTTCAGTGACGAAAATTTGAGTGGTGATAACTACCCCCCCCCCACCAAACACATAAATGCACATGATCTGGTTCCTTGTAGCGGGGTAGCCCACGCCCACTAACGCATTTACCGCTCACACCCACTCGTCAACAACTCGTACTGCATTTTTACCATTTCCTCAATGTACCACACGCGCACTGCAGAGAGCGCTTTATAACAACATAATATAATAATATAGATAATAATCAGCCCTACACAATGATAATAGCTTAAATCCTAAGGAACCCTTTAAACACAGAACTGAACCTTGACCTTACTGCGCATGCACCGCAGTACATATTATATCAAGTCTAAATTTCTCTACAGTTATCGCTTTATCGATAGTATTAATATTTAACAACTGAAACATATGGAAGATAAAACTACATCAAAACCCTAAATCAAAGATTTAATTTATATCTCTGGAAATGGTGGGTAGTAGGTCTGCTAGTAACTTAAGAGGATTACCGATATAAAAGTATAGTGATGGAGACCAAAAAGCAGTTCATCAGCGTGGGGTTTTGGGTGGTCGGAATTTATTTCTGAAAGCTGCTCTGAAATTGTTGTTTATTCTACTAGTTATTGATCGCAGAATTTTTTCTTTCAAATATTAAGGGGTATGAAATATGAATAGTATAGACAAATTTTAATTTTGTAAAGTTAAAGGTCTGAAAAATATTGAAATTTTTGCTATAGCTTAGCTCAGTTAGTTTAAAAATTTTAACGAATCGATCTATAAAGAAACTTGATGGCAAGAACATTATCTTTGTGTACTATAGGTATAGGTAAATACCAAATACGTATAAATATTTTATAATATATTTCATATGAACCTATTCATTTTAATATTATACCTATAGACACTAATTTTATTCTTGTACAGTTGTACATAATATTCTATTTAAATACTGCAGTGTGGGAGACTTAAACGATGGGTATTACTGTGTTAGACATGGGTCCATATTGTATCATTTTACAGACTACTTATTGATAGTTTACTCTCAACTTTTTTTAAGAAATTGTATTGATATAATTCACAAACTTTGCCTGTATTTTAATATTTGATGTAAAAAAATTATGATTTTACTTTCGGAAAATTATATATTTAAATATTTGGGTAGCATTATTAACTTTAATTACATGACGTATAAAAGGTATCTAAGTGTGAACTCGATTTGAAATATTCTATTCGATATAGTTATTCAAAATTAATTTGCTCGTCAATGTAAACTTATAAAAGGACTAAAAATAAAAAAAAATTTTCTATACAATTCGGCGCGTTCTAATATCTAAAATAATATTGTATAATATTACATGCGTACCTCAGCTAGACGTTCGAGTTCATTGAGTGTGAAAATCGTTTCCATCGTCGATCTTTTGTCACGGCTACGGCGACTGAGTGGCGTGGGTGCTGATGTCCGCGGTAAGCCGGTCCCTGTGTGTAGTTGCAGGAGAGGATGATCACAATTCACAGAAATCACACAACACAATTCGAGAGTGAACGAGCGACGTAGTTTATTCGGGTTAATAAAACAATAACGAATAACGATATACTACCGACGGTGGTAGTATGACACTCTGGTATCACGGTAGTACTGTATAACACGTGTTTTTTTGTTGAACCGTTCATATCGTGGTGGTCGAGAGCTTAACTTCAGTGTCCGGACGAGAGTTGGTGTATTCGACGTTGTATGGTAACTGACTGTCGACTGAATGAGTTGTCCGGCGGTCGGTGAACGAGAGAGCGTCCGTCGGCAGCCAGTCCTCGTCCACGCAGACTTGTCTTCCCGTCCCACCCTGTGCCTTTGAGGCCTGGTGGGGGGAGTTGACGGTGTCACGCAGTTGTTGTCCGTGGTGGCGGTTGACGAGTGTACACCACTTGAGCACTCTGCAGACTGACCAGAAACTCGAAAGTAATACATTTTATGTTGTAGTTGAACCATAGAACATATTATAGTCTTCTCCCTCCTTGGATATATTAATATAGATATTAAAACTCCGGTGGTTGGCTAAACATATATAGCATGTATATGCATGGCCACACCCACTATTGCCTCTCTTCGATGTATATATTAGAACGTACATCTCCCCTGCACTACTTCTCCCCTGCACACACATTATATTTTCTCGGCAATCGTCGCTGTATTGTTATAATATTATACATTTTGTGAAGTGTAAAAAAATATTATTAAATATATTTTTTTGTTAGTTTATACCTAAAATCAAGATGTCAAAGACGTTTAAACGCAGATAATGCGTATGACATTCCATTTATAAATTATTATTACCTATTTATTTTGTTCGGTCAGTGAGAGGTATATTTTACACCATCCAGAGAAGATTGCAGGAGCGTCCCAAGGGTGGGGGGGGCAAAGGGGCGTTCGCCCTCCCCCCGTAACAATTTTTAATGTATATAATAATTACTCTCAATGTCAACAAAATAATAATTGATCAACATTTTAATTTACCGTTATAAATAAGGAGAAAAACTAATCACCACAGAAATAATAATTATTATCAATGGATAACCATTACTGTTTAGATAAAGATAATAAGTATAATAAATAGGTACTCATGTGGTATACTGTAATCTACATAAGGCGGGTTTATTCCATTATACACGTACGGGTGTACGTGCATACAAATCCTTTGCTGTGAATTGTGATTGGTTGGTATAAGGTTAAATTAGCACACGATTTTCAGTGTAGACGGCAAACGTTTATAGTGAAAACCAGCCTTTAATAGTTTAATCTATGCGGGTAAACCATATACCATTATACCTACTTAATTATATAATATTATAACAACATTAATAATTTAAGGTGAATTTATGAAACAATACTTTGTTACGTAAACTTATTTGTAACGTAGTCGCATTAAAAAAAAAAAAAGTCGGTAAAATTTACTTAAGTTCACAAAAACTATTGAAAAATATGCATAGGGTAATAATTGATTTAAAAAATAGATTCACCTCCCTCCACCATAGAAACTGTTTAGGGACGCCCCTGTAAGATTGTAAAGGGACTGTTTTTTTTTTATTTTAAACGAACTATATTTTTTTTTAGTTATTTAAAGCGGGTCTCAATCTCCATATTTAGGTCATGGCGCGAGCCAAGTAAAAAAAAAAATAACTGCTCGACGGTGTGTGTACAGTATATCGTAGCAGGAGTTTCCTATTTAAACTGTGTAAAATACAGGAAAATTTGTTATACGACATAACTAATTTTCTAATGCATCAATTAACTCCTAGTAACCTCGAAAACATCAAAATATTGTGTAGAACGTGCTTTTGTAAAAAATCATCAAAATCGTTAGAAATTAAGTTATAAATGAAAAATTGCGAACTTTTTAATGGAAATTTATATTAAATTCAGAATAACGGTAACCGTCATCGTCGTTGTCGTCACCGCATCAGCGTTGCCAATGTATGTTATCTAGTCATATAAAACTATTCCCATGCATTCTTATTCTTAATAGATTATAATTTAATTTTAGCAAGTTACAAAACTAAAAAAATTATAAAATAAATTTCAGGTGTCTTATTGCCACAAGGTCCTCACAAAAACATGGGGTCCCGGGCAAGACCTTTGATTGACACCTCCCTCCCGCCTGTCATGACGGCACTGAAAAATATGCATACATTTAATGAATTGGTAGTGGAGAAATGAATAATATTTTATCAATATAATCCTATACAGCGTATTATGTTATTTATGAATTATATTTTTAAGAAGACATATTATAAACGCGTGTTATAATCTATAAAGACAAAAGGTCAATATTGAGTCGTACGATTAAAATGTTTACTGAACATATCTATAATATTAGAGTTTATCTCTGTACACGTCATAGCTCATAGATCGTAAAACAAAACCCATCAAAGTCCAATAATGTTTTAACAAAAGCTTTACTAATCACAAGGCAACACGTTTTGGTTGAGAAAATAATATTGGTACGATATTTGAATACATTAAGACGACGCCACACCCGCATGTGTTGTCTCCGTCTTACAAATACCAAAAACATATCAAAAACTGTTTTGCGCGGGACAACTGTGCTCGCACCATATTTGTTGTAGAACTACCAAATTTTCACAACACGTAAAGAAGAACTTAATCCGTGCAACAGAGTGCCCATATTTTAAATAACGTAAATACAATAAAAGTTATTTGCTTCTAAACATTTTGTTATTTCATTTGAATATAAGAAATGATTGGATAATGGTGCTATTAAAAATAGAGCACTCTGTTGCACAGATAAAGTGCACTTCTTTAAGTGTTGTGAAAATTTGGTAGTTCTACACAGTGGAGGCTCGTGGTATAGTGCACTGGAGCACGTGAACAACAAATAAAATAAAAAAATAATAAAATATAATTAGATTAATATGGTAACATACCATAATTCATTATTATGTACATGGTTTGTAATAAAAAAAAAGTTTTTGCAGTTTTTCATGTTGAGAAGTGTGTGTATAAAATATTGAATAATTGTTTGTGCTCCGGGCGGCTATGTAAATATTAGCTATAAGCCTCGACACGTCGGTTAGTAATATATTATGGTAGTGGGAGCACACTGAATGTGTGCACCGAACCTATTTTTTTCGTGTCGCGATGTCGCGTCGTTCGTCGAAACGATAACACTGTACATTATCCATTAATTGCGTTATTATATTAAATTATTTTAATATGCACCTATAGCAAAATGAATATTTGTACCATCTTACATAGGTATCTTATACATTTCTTGTGCACCATCTTAGGTGACCCTCACGACTCACGAGCCGCCACTGGTTCTACAACAAATATGGTGTGAGAACAGCTGTCCCGCGCAAAACAGTTTTTGCTATGTTGTATACATTTGTAAGACGGAGACAACACATGCTGGTGTGGCGTCCTCTTAAGCTGCTATTTATTTAAAATTAAAATTATAATATTAGGTACGCTTTACTCAAACGCATATAGCTTTATTTATGACACACATAAAATACTGATTTTTTTATCGGTAAATAATTTATCTGTATGTTCATGTTTTTCAAATCAAAGAAATTTAGTTGATATAAATAATTTGTTCAAATACCACTATAATTGCTTTTTGATGTAGACAATTAAATAGTGATTTTGGTATTATTGTATTATGTTTGTGATATTCAATTTAAGGAATTTAAGGGCAAATAAAATAATCTGTAGTTGACTCTTTATCAAATAATGTATGACTTTTACATTAGTAAATTTAAGTAGGTACTTTGACCAATGAGTCAGACATGACTCATAATGATATATAAATTCCGGTAATTTGTACACGTACCATCAGCAACAATAGATAGAACCTATCCGTAATACCTACATAATATGCTAACTGCTCAAGACGCCGTTATTATTTCAGTAAAACTGTCTACACTCTACAAAGTACCTAATACGTATAGACAGTATTAAATAGACGTATATTTATATTTTGACCATACATAGTTTAAAAAGAGTGTAATTACTGCCTAAAAAACATGTCTGGACGGTCGCTGTTATAACATAATATATTACAGTTTTTAATATTTTTATCAATACTCTATAGTCTAGACTCTAGACAGAATTATGTACCTATAAAAACTTCTATTAAAAACCTATTAAATACCCTAATAAAAAAATGTAGACTAATAAATGTTCACTCGTTCAAAAAACTTAATAATTGAATACAACATTCATCGTTAGTTGTTAATAGTGTAATTTAAAAAAAAAAAATGAGCTTAAATTAACATTAGTTTTTAACAACTGACGTTAGCATTTTGACAAAATTCGTCAATATCACGAAAAATTGCGAATGATATTGAGTTAAAAATTCATAGAAAAAAGTAGTGTCTGTATGATTAATTATATGAACGGAAAACGACTTCACCGACTTTTATTCAGATATGATATAAGTATTGGTATAGTTAGTTAAGTGTATATATAACATATAAACCTATTTCAAATTCATCATTACTTTGGTCCTAATAATTTTTTTTTTATCAAATATAATATCGCTGTGAGTATTTAAAATGGCGACGCTGAGTTTATTCGCATTTAATCATGTAATTTCACTATATATTATCTATATATTATCATATTGTAATAAACTTTTAAATAAATTAAGTGCGTACCTAAAATAGTTTCATAACTTTGTATAGATAATTAATATGTAGTCTGAATGTTGTATGAATAACAATTATTTAAATTTAATAATATATAGGAGTGTCCGTTTTATGTTAATTTTTATTTGAAATGTGTGGCCAGGTATATGACAACAGGTAGGCCCAGCCCCATTTAATGCCATACTATATACGGCTACCGAAATCGCACATAAATAAAACTGGTTTTGATAGCCAATACGATACTAGTTGCAAAATTGCATTATGAAATTTCTGTTAATTCTGAATTTATCACTGACAATTACTTTAGCTACCTATATAGTTTTATTGTACAGTAAATATTTATACTTAAATATAGTAACATAATGGAGTGACTTGAACGTGATCTTTGATTCTCATATTGACAAATTTGTGTTTAATTATCAAACTGCTATCTAGGAAATTGACAAACATTTCTTGCGGCGCCGTGAAATCGACCTTCACTAATAATTATGGGCGTTGGCTTATTCTACCGTAGACAGCATTAAAAATGAATTAATATTAGAAGAATATGATATCACATTTTCTACGAAGAGGCGTAGTATAGTTTTTATATTTTATATGATAAAAAACTAAATAGTCTACAATCTACATTTTGATATTTTGATATAAATATTAATAATTTTAAATCAATTTTAGAACCCGTGCTTCGGGTACTGGAATTTGGGTTGTAAAATAAAATATTTTTGAATAATAAATTATTATAATTAAAGTAATAATTGAATGTTAGAACATAATATTATTCTCAAATAATTATTGTTTCGT